AAATAGCTTATTGGAGCACAAAGGCAAACTAAATCAACAGCCCTCCTCCACCCCACCCAACAGAGTGTGTGGCATCTGAATGATGCCAATGTGACAGAAGAAGTACAGAGGGCAGAGGCTGCACTAGAAAGGCTGGTGGCATGGTTTAGAGTCAATTTTTTAAAACCAGCCACAGGACTAGACATGCACTGACCTCTTCTCACTGCTAGGAGAGTCTGCATTCATCTCTCCAGTGAGTTAGCAGCAGAGTGGGAGCTCAGGAGGCTGATACCTTGCCCATACTGGGCGACGTGAAGGGCAGAATTTCAGGGCTGCCACCCCCAAAAAAGGAACATGTCAACACTGCAGCAGCCTCCTATTCAGGTTGAACAAAATCACCTGGAGTATCGAAGCCATCACGAGCAGATGGCCTTTCGCTCAAAATAATAAAAAGACAAATAATCTCCCCTCTTTCTGCTAATCTGCTGACCTTAATACCAATTCTGGTTTTAATCACCGGGCCAGACCACTCCAGATGTACCTCCCCCATCTGGACCATGAGAGTCCTTTCAACAAAGAAAACACCCCCCATATTGCTCACTACAATGTGTTAATACAACTCTCAAGTCATTACAGAAACAATCACACTGCAAGGTCCCGTGTTAGAGCCCCAGCATGGTGCTGAGACAACAGCAGCACCTGAGGGAGGAGGGAAAAAGGAGGAGGGAGGGGGGAACAGGAAGGGGAAGAGTAGGAGGAGGAGGGACCACGGCTGCTTACAGGAGGATTCCTATCAGAAACAAAAATCTCTTCAAAAAAACAGCATACAAACAGTAACATCCTTTTATGCCTCATGGTAGTACTGGTCACACAGATCTGGAGACAGCAAGGATTGCTAGGGGTGACGATAGAGATCTCAGTTTTCTTGCTGACACAGTCCTTTCTCTACCAGGTAAACTCCTACTCATCCTGAAAGGTCCAGCTCAATTTCATGGTCTCCATGAACCCCTTTCCCTAGTTGTCCCTTTGTTCACTGGTTTCCTTCCAACCAAGAGTCTAAGATCCACACACAGCGTCCTTCACTCTGGAGTAGAACAAGGACCTTGTGCCCAGAAGGGACTTGTTAGGGGACAGGGACTGGAGGTCATCACCACGCACTGCAGCGAGTCTCTTGTGAAGGGAGCACAGTACAGAGCTATGGCCACAAGGCCCTGTAAGGGTCCCATGGAGCTGATTCACCAGAACTGCCCTCCCTCCCCCAGTAACTTGCCACTGGCCGCTGAGACAGGAGCTATGCCTCCAAACAAGAGTCACTTGCTACCTGGGTAACCGGTCCCTACGGCAAGTCTGTGCAGAAGGGGAAACCTGGGTCCGGGGTGCACTTCCTGAGTATCCCTTTGGTTGCGGGATACTTCAGCCCAGGCTGTTGTGAGGGGAGATGCTAGGACGTGATCCATGCTGAACCTGGGCTCCAGCTTGGGGAGGGAAATGGGCACAGCCAGCTGAGGCCCGAGCCACCAGAGGTCCCCCAGCAGGGTTCCTGGCCAACCTTCAGGGTTCCTCTTCCTCAAGCTCCAAGGCAACTGCCACTCCTGGAGCAGCGATTCTGACCCTATAACAAAAATGATGGCAGCTTTCCAACCACTGTCTGGAGCCCTGATAGAAAGCAAGCAACTCCTTGAACTTCAGCCTTTAGTAACCACCTAGCCTTTAAGACTAGTTCAAAATGTTTCAATAAACTCTGAATAACACTGTTTCATTAAACCCCAAGTGATGAGTCAAGTTTAAAACAATGTATCAGTTACAACTCTAATTTGTTTCTCTTGCCCACTAAATTTTTTTTTTTTAAACTAAGCCCATGCCTACTGTAATTACAAATCATGGAAATCAGAAACTATAAAACAAAGCCACTGATAAAATGACCTATCAAGAATTGGTTGTAAATTACTAATTTACAAGTCAAAGTCATCAATGAATCACTTTATTGCTATAATCAATCCTCCCAGACAGTAAAAGAGCATCCTCAAGACAGCTCTGAACTGGTGGCTGGTTCCAAGGAGTGAAGTTTGGGTCAGAGGCATCAGAATCCTTTGGAATGTGAGGAACATGCACCGCAGACCAACATACAACAACACTGCTGATCATTTATTGCTGCTTCCTTCCTTGTATGAAATTATACCTTGGTTGGGCCAGGAATATGGCTCAGTGGCAGCACTGCCCAGCAAGCACAAGGTCATCGAGTTCAATCCCCAACACTAATACATATATACACATATGTATGTATGAATGTATACCTTTGTCAACAGACTACTATGTAGTATCAGCGAACAGGAAGTTGCCCTCAATGGAACACAGAGTCCTTCTGAAATGTTCACCAGCATGCTAAAAGCTGGAAGCCATGCTGGAACTAGGGTCAGTGCTGGAACTCAGGAGGCTCCTGTCACTCATTAGCAGGGCAACAGGAGAAGGGAGAGGAGCCTAAACAGGATTAGAAACAACAAGGGAATCAACCCACAAGACAGAGCACCTGACGGCACAGTGGCCTGCACCTGTCATCTTTAACACAAGAGGCTGAGACAGGAAAATCGCAAGTTTGAGGTCAGTCTGGGCTATAAGAGAGAGATAGAGACAGAGCACCTAAATTAAGAACGCAGTTAAGACTACTGAACTTGATAAGACTCTTATAGTTACTTTTTCTATAACCAACTTCAAACCTTAATTGCAATTTTTTTTAAAGAAACACAGGTAACACACACCATTTTATTTCCTAAACCCCAAATGTCTAAGCCTGCAGACCCACCCCACCCCTTAAGAGCATGCACAGGGAATCTACAGGAGGCCTTAAGGATGGGACTTGTACCTAAATTCACTCAAATTTGGAATAATCTGTAATAGCAAGGAAATGCATAAAAACTGGAGAAACCTAACAAAACGAGAAGCCCTGAACACTGGGAGGTCTGTCACAGGCACATACAACATTACTGGCCTTACCAGAAGAAAGGCTTTATATTTTTGCCAAAAGCAAATATTTTTACCCAGGTGAAAAGGGTAGTTTTTTAATAAAATAAAATGATCACCCAGAGCTGTAAGTGAGGGCCTGGAGAGTACTCAGTGTGGGCGCCATCATCCAGCTCATTAAAGCACTCAGCTCCTCTGCAGAGTCCACAGATACCAGCCACACTGCTAGGTCTCCAGCCAACATAGCTCCATCCTGAGAAGCTATGCCCACAAAGGACAAATAAACTGAGTGTCCCTATAATTATTACTATTATTAACTTACACGGCCCTGCAGGGAAACATTTCAACACACTTCACACCCTTATGGTCACAAATCTACTGTCCCAAAAGAAACCACCAAAACCTCAAATGCTTTTAACTGCTGTCAACAGGTACATGATGAGGCTCCTTCCCTCTAAATCATGTCTGCGCACCTCCTTTCCCCCATCTCTCTCTCCCCTGCTAAGATAGGGACATGTCTGGAACCCAGGCAGCTAATTACTATTTTCCACGAACTCCACAAGAACAAAGATGCAAGCCTGCTATTAGAGGGAGAACTGGGGCCTTCGGATTTGAACTTCCGGTGAACGAAAAAGGCAGCAAAACAACTCCATGCAAGCCTGCACGTCTAAGGGCCCCATGCTATTTTCCAGGACTTCAGGAGCTAAGGAGGAGGGGTGGACTAATGGCTGGAGTCAAGCTCTGTCTTTTCCAAGGTCAGTGCTCCAAAACACCTGAAAGCAAGATGTTAGTGGCAAATGGAAGCAATCAAGCCTCACGGCAGCTCAGTATAGACGTTAATCCTCAAGTACGAAGCCCTCAGATGTGAATGGCACTACACAGTCAGCTGCTTGGCTTCAGGGATCCTCTACTCCCTCCTGAGACCCATCTGATGATTATCAGAACATGACCATTTTGTCTGCAGTTTGCCTTCATGTTTACGAAAGGGCGGCACATCCTTCGCCTGGCTGATTTTAATGCAAACCCTGTGTCAGTAGGCGAACTTGTTAAGCCCATCTGGGAACTGGCTGTACAGCAGGTGAAACCAGCTAACCAAAGCCACTGCTTCTACTACAATTGCCTCTATCTGGCATTAGTGTTCGGAAACGAGGTTAAAGATAAGATTAAGGGCATTTCCTTGCAGGTGGCCCACCTACCTGTGGGTAGAACAGTTTTTAAGCATACTACCTCCCATCCCATGAGTAAAGGGGAGCCATCTGGCTGTCCCTCATGCCCCAGCCTTTCTTCTTCAAAGGATACACAGATGGGATCTGTTTTGCTGCTTCTGACCCCCAAATGCTATGGCAAGGTTAACTGATTCCTGCCAGGCACTATTACCATCCCTGCCTCTATTGCAAGGGCCCTAAAGACAGGAGAAAACTGAGGTTGCCTTGCCTGCAGAGGAAGTGTTCCACCACATTCCCTAGGAAATAGATTCCTGTTCTGGACTGGCCTTCTCCATTGAGCCCCCACTGGGCAGAAGCCTTGCCCTCCACAACTCACCCTTGGTTGTGAACCTGCTTCACCAAAAGCTCTGCAGGTGGAAAAGCCCAGATTACCCAGGACAGGCTGGGTATTCACAGATGGGAAAGCCCAGGGATGAGATGCAGGGAAAGAGCAGGGCGCAAACCCAGAGGCCTGCTGACTTCTCGACAGGGCTGCACCTGGGAATGTGGCCTGGGAGCAGCCCAAGGAGCAGGGCTGCAGACATGCAGTGGCGTGCTCACAGCCTAATGGAGGGGGCTGGGCCAGCACCTGCTGGAGACCAGTGGAACTCTGGCAAGTGACAGACCAGTAAAGGTACAGAGTACACAAAGCCAGGGAGGGCAGGGCCAGGCTGCTGCAGTGCCGCTGGGCAAATCCGCAGTACTAGAGTTCACATCCCGTGCAGCCACTTGCCGGCCAACTGGAGATCTGGGCGCACAACTCCGTATGCGCTACCCGGGCCCAGCGTGCATGGCGGGCCAGGCCGCTCAAGTGCTATGCCACCGCCCCCCTACCCCCCGCTTCGCCCCAGAGCCCACCTCTGCGCGGGGACCCGTCGATGCTCTCTGCGCTGGAGGAGTGCGCGTCAACCGGGGCCCGCCGCAGGCTGCTGAAGTAGCCGCGTGTCCGCGGGGCGCCGCTCCGGAGGGAGGGCGCGCCGTCCCTGCGCGCAAAGATGCCGCTGAAGAAGCGCAGCAGCCGGTGCTCCGAGGCCGCGGCCCGCGCGCGCTCCAACCGCTGCAGGTCGCTGTTGTCCAGCGTGCGGTTCTTGCTCTTGCTGCGCTCCCAGCGCTCGAGGTCCGAGAGCGCGTCGTTCTTGCTGAGCACCTCGCCTACGTCCAAGGTGTTGCGCTTCTCCGAGGAGGGCTGCAAGGCGGTGGCGGCGGCCTCTGGACCCGTCTCCGGCTCCTCGTCCGGCGCCCAGGCCAGGCTCCCTGAGCTGCTGCGGCGCCTTCCACTATCCAGGACCGGGCCTTGAGGCGCCTCGGGCGCGCTCCAGTGCCTGAAGCTTAGGCTCCGCCGCAGGGTCTGGGCCCGTGGCCCCTCTGCGCCTGGGCTATCAGGCGCGAGCGAGCTTCGTCCCTCCAGGACCGGGGGACTGCCGGCCACGTCCACAGGGTCCGGGCCGCGCGCGCAAGGTCGGAGGCGCCCGAGCTCCAGCTGCCCGGTGCTCCGGGTACGGAATGTGCGCACGTCCCAGGAGCGCGGCGAGCCGCCCTCCGCGTCCTCCTCGGGCTCCTCCAGCAGCTGCTCGGGCGCGTCTGGGGAGCGCGCGGGCCGAGGCCGCCGGGCAGAGCGCAGTTCCAGCTCGTCGGAGCCCGGCGTCGCCAGCTGCTCCTTTCGGACCATAGTCACCGAGATGCGGTAAACGGTCTTCCTGGGGGGCGTCCCGCGTGGCATCGAGTCTTCAGGTGGAGGCGCGGGCTCGCCGCCGCCGCCGTCCAGCAGGTACATGCTGCCTTGGGCGCGGGCCAGCGAGGCGCGGAGAGGGGCGCGCTCAGGCTGCGGGGACGTCGGCCCTGGGGCGCGCCCGCCCGTACGCTGCGCGGCCCGCGTGCCGGGGTCCGGGCCCGGGGCGCCGAGCCATGGGCCGGGGGCGCGCGGGGCGCTCAGGCGCGGGGACGGCCTCGCCGACAGGTGCGGGCGCAACGCGCGGGGCCCAAGGCGGGCGGCGACACCCGCGGCTTCATTGTCTACGGCGCAGGGCCCGTGCGCATCGCCGAGGGTTTTCAGCACAGCCCCGCGTGTCCGCAGTCTCCACCACTCCCTGGGATCTGGACGGGCTGGCAGGAGCGCCGGCAGTGGTCGAGGGGCGGGCGGCGGTTTAAAATGGAAATGCGCGCCGGGGCGGGGCAGGCGGGCGGGGGCCGACGTGCAGGACCGTGGGCCGCGCGCCCAACCCCGCCGGTTGAGTCCCGGGAGCGCGGCGGCGGAGGCGAGCGCGGCGAGGCCAAGCGCCGGGGTGGATCGCGGCCGCGCGGACCGGAGCCGCCAGCCTGCTCTATAGAAACCTACTCACACTGATCTCAGGGCTTGAAAGGCAAAACTCAAGCACTTGCTGCAGGTTTACTTGAGGAACCTCTCCTAACCACGGAGCTGTGCAGAGGCTGCTACTCAGGTAAAAACCAAAGTCTCACTGGTACCTGTCACCCTCGCCACCTTTACAAGGAGCAGGTGTGCGCCAAAGGGGCCCGCTCAGCAATTCTCGGAGATGGCTCCATGGGTCTCAGAAAGGATCTTTCTCCCAGCGCTCCGGGTTAGCACCCAAGGCCCCTACAACAGGCAGGAGACGTCATGAGCCAAACCCAGCAGACTCGGGCCCAGACCAGGCTTGTCCACTACTGGCCACCTCTAAGAGAACAATGGAGATAACGACAACCACACTTGGAGCACTTCTCAGCACGTCTCAGCCCCCAGAGATGCTGGTCCTAGATGCCACCTGATGCAACACTGCAGTTCTAGGTTATTGATGAGCCCGTCGAGCTTCCTGCTGGCCTGACCATAGGTGTGCCATTCCAAAACTGGTGTGTATGAAAGTTCCAGATGGAAAATTCAACACACACTCCTCCAGGCCTGAAAATGCCAGAGATTGCAGGAGCTGTGTCTAGGTGAGGGGCTGGTACCAGAGGGCACTCCCAGAGTGCAGGCACAGTCAGCTGCCACTTTCCCCTATTTGAATCTTTTCACAAATACTCTGTAGGTATTAACCGTGTTCACAGCACTGACAATGACATAAGAATGAATGGGATATGGTCGCCTTCCAAACAAGCTGTGGCCTTAGAAAATCTGGATTTTTGCCCTGGTGTGAAATTATATTCTCAGGTTTAATGAAATAAATGAGTGGCCCCTTCCTTGACAACAAATTTCTACCACCACAGGTCACTCAGTCCACATATACACTGAACTCTCGAAGTGGCATTTCCATAAGTGGTATTTCCTACACGAACCCCCGGAAGGTGAGGCCACCAAGGCAGATCTATCTCACCTTCTGCATTTCAGTGAAGCAGTCTCTTTAATAACCAGCTTCTGGAGTGGGAGCCGGACAGGAATCATGTATCAGAACCCCATTTCTAAAGCCCATTTGACTGGGATGCAGAGGTTCAGAGAGGTGGACACATCCCCTAAGGCTCATCCATGAGAGGTGAGCCTGGGGTTTTGGGGTCAACAGTACTGATGGCCACTGCTGCCATCATGTCATTTCTTTAGCTTTAGCAAGCATTCTGCTTTGTTGATAATGAAGAGCGGAAAAAAGGTGGATATTAGCAGAATGGACACTAATCCAAGGTACCTGCTACCCTGGTATGTCCAGGATACATTTGTAGTGAGTTTTTAGTTCTGTGATCATTTGACTACTGCAGTGCTACCCAGGGACAAGGAAGAGTCTCTGCTTCCAAGAATTGACAAACTTGAGAGAAATGCTGGTGTGAAGTGATTTCACCATAAAAACACAGGGATAAAATCATGGGTGATAACCTGAGAGATGGCCATGATTCCCAGCATGCTGTCTCTCTCATGAATGAGCACTAGCTCTCAACTTTACAGCTGCAGCTGCAGAGCCCTGCAGGTGACCAGGTTGTAAGCTGAGAATCCAAGCTGCACTGCAGAGAGACTATTGCTGGCTTCTCACTACCAGGGCTTCTCACTTCGCTGGGCGCCTGGTCCCACCACTGGGGAGACAGCATAACTTTCAAAAATGGAGATGAACTTTAATATGAAAGTACCTGGTCCACCCTGAAGACGGGTAAATACACTCTGCTTGTTTCCAGAGCCATTCATAAACCCCAGAGGGGAAATAAATTAAACCGCATTTCATTAGCAATCCAATGCAGGGCTGTTAGTGTCACCCAGTTTCTGTACCTTTCCTGGAATCCTCCCCGGGTTTTGTGCCTTGCCATACTAGAATGCAGGCTGCAGAGTAGAAGAATCCATTTGATCCACCTTAGATGGATGGCACAGGCTCATCCAGGGAGCTGCGTTCACCCACAGCCAGTGTATTGGCTAGCTTTCAGCACTTTCCAGCCTAGAAGGAAGCGCTGATTTTCTACCCCTGTTATGAGGGTTTCTCATCTGCCCTGACACTGTGGCCTGAAAGCCCGGGTGACAGAGAATCGCCTCTCCCTACCCCGAGACATGGGCTCTCCCGCCTGATAGGATGAGCCGAACAGTTGCTCCCAAGCCTGCTCTCCAAAATCTAAATCCTCTCTCCCAAAGCCAGACTTGCCTTCTCTGAAAAAGAAAAGGGCCATTATAGCACACATGTTGGCGCGTCTTTCTGCTTTATCTTCCTTGGTTCTCTAAAAAACAGATCCCCCTGGACAACATTTGTTCAGTTTTCCACGCGCTAGAGCACATCACCATTTTGGTTTTCAGATGAAAAGTACATAGATGGTCTCGGGGCTGCACCCACAGCAAAGGGCAGTGGGCACAGAGCCTCTGCCCAGCAGGGACTCCTACTGCAGGGAGGAAAGAGGCAGAGGGGTCCCAGAGAGCCTGACCCACCCCCTTCCTCCCTCCACAGCTGGCTTCTCTCCTGGGTCCAAGCTTTGAGCCCCTTTGGCTACCGTCCCTGACTCAGCTCGGGCCCACTTCTGGCTGCCTCTAAACATCCTGCATGTGAATATTATTATTTCACAAGCATTAGTTAGGAGAGCTGATAAGCCTTATTTAAAGGAAACCTCCAGTAGTCAGCAGAGCCATCTGCTTCGCAAGCTGACTTTCCAAATAACACAACTTGACAGCTAGTAATCATGTTCACAGCCTCTTACAGAACCTGTGCGGCTGGCAACAGAAGCCAGCCAACCAGGAAGGCTCCCATCCTGCCCTCAGCATGCCCCTCCCGGGGCCGACAGGGAGGCTCTCCTCCACTGGGGTCTTCACAGGTGACCCTCCCACGCTGGTGAGCTGGCAGACACAACAGCAGCAGAAACAAAGACATCAAAGACATGTGCATTTCAGGGACACTTACATTTCACCTTTCAGCATGTGTCTCAAATCCCGTGATAAGAGCGGAAGAGCTTCTGATCTAAGACTTACTGTTGCCATGGGCTTGTACAGACCGACAGTTCCCAAGCTAGAGACACCTCAATTGAATTCCTCCCTAGGTCCCCAATTTTCTCACTGTATAAAGGAAGGTGAGGAGTGGAATTGTAAAAGAGATCTTGACCCTGGTCTGCCAGTCATCCAGGAGGGATAAGTGTGTGCCATCCTTCAGGAGGAAAAGGACACAGGAGGTCCTGTGGGCTCCTGCACCCCACCCTTTCATGCTGCTCCTCAAGGACAAACCACAAAAGCCACCTGTGGTGAGGGGCAAGGGCAGCACAGGAACACAACACCACAGGTGGCATCTGCCCTTCTGCTCTTGTCAGCTGTGACAGAGGCTCCTCAGCGTCACCTGGAGGACACCATCACACTTCAGGTAGAACAGAGGACAGAGGCTGTCTCTCAAACCCCAGATTTGGCTTGACCTCAGAAAAAACGGTTTCCACAGCCCACTTCCAGTCAGGGGCATCCTCAGACCTGGAAAGGGTGGTTGGCTTTATACTCAGGTGGGTAGGAAGGACAGAGGTGGAATGGGGGGTCCCTAGCTCCCCAGTGGCATCTTGGGTCCAGCTCAGTATCATGTCCACCAAGGATTTCTCTGGGCCTTCCCAGAGAAGGTGACAGGTGGGAGGACAAACACACCTGTGTGATGCAGAGGCAGGGTGCTCCCACTTCCCCTGCAGAGGATCCCACCTGTGAGGCAGAGCTGGCGCCTCAGTACCCTGACAGTGTGGACTTCAGGGGTTCCACCAGAGGTGCACATGCACTTGTTACCTGCTGCTGGAGGGTAAAGACAAGCTGTATGGGGCCTCAGCCACGCCCAGCACTGTGCAGAAAACAAGGGGCACTGGCAGGAAGGAAGGTGTCTGGCGTTGACAAATATCATAAATACCAACACCAGAAGAAAAGGTTTCTATATGGGGTAAGAAAGAGGCTGATAAGAAGGCAGAAAATGATGCTTTAAAGCTGAAGCAATCAAAATCAGCTTCGGAAGAGAGTGTCTGAAACCTTCCCCCAGGGCAGGTTGGCACTGCAGGCGTTCATGTTGTTCAGTTTGCTGTAGGACCGTCCTAGGCATTACAGGATGGGGACTCCTATCCCTGCCCTCCAACCCCTCTGCACAAGCCGGTAAGACCTTCCCCAGGCTCCTGGCCAAAAAAGACCTCTGCAGAAGCCGCCACTGTCCCCTGGGGGGCAAAACTGCCACAGTGAGAACTTCCGCCAGCCACACTCAAGTGACATTTCCCAACCTTTAATTTTTGTTTTTTTTTTCCTTTTTTTCCAAGTTCAACCATTCCCTCTTGTCTCTGCATATATTAGCAAAAAGCACCAGAAGGTCTCTATAAAAAGAGAAGAGACTATTTCCAGTAATCGTTCCCAAAATAGGAAGAGTGGCAAATTAGATGAGGCCACCGATCAGCATGCATCCTGAGAGAAACAACTTGTTCATTAAAGTGATTTTAGTCAGACAGATATCATGGACATGATTAAAATATTGGAAGGGTTAAAAGAAAAAAGGTCCATAGTGAAGCAGGACTGCGCCAATCAGTGAGGGGTGCAAAGGTGCTGCCCATGAGGCCGAGTGAGAGGAGGGCAGAAAGCCCAAGACCACACTGCCCCAGCATGTGCTACTCCAGCATCCTCTGTGCCTGGGAACCATCAGGTGACAGAAGGAGACTCTGTGATGGATGGAAAACTGGTGGTCAACTTGGCACACCCAGCTGAAATACATCTGTGTGGTGCTGGGTGCAGAGGGTTCAGCTGAGGATGGCTGCCAACAGCAAAAAAGCAGAACCAGAGAGGAAAGGTGTTGTTTGGTGCTGTTGGTTCTCCTGTTGCCGTGGGTTCTCCTGGAGGAGCTTGTCAGACTTCTCTCCTGATGTGAACTTGGCTATTCTCATTGTCAGAAGAGCTCGGGACCTCACTGTCACTGAGAATGGCTGTGGTTCACTTGGG